GGATAGTCTACTCCCTTGTCTCCCCCCTCCCCTCCCTCTTTTGAATATTCGGTCCTTGCTGGGCTACTAATGTTGCCATGGGGGTTTTTTTTGTTAAATTTCTCCAAATCTTAAGGTTTCTCTGATTCTATTAATAACTCCCTTGTGTTTCTTAGTAACCTTGTTGGTTTACAGTAATTCATCAGTTTTATTTGCTTCTAAAGAAAGATCAGCAATAGTTGTGCATTGGGACACCTTCCCTTCCTTTCTTTCTTTCTTCCTTCCTTCCTTCCTTCCTTCCTTCCTTCCTTCCTTCCTTCCTTCCTTCCTTCCTTCCATGTGGTCTGAAAACACTACTCAGGATATACAGTACCACTGAATCTCCAAGAATACTCTTCAAGGCTTCTGGGAGGTTGATTGTCCCACATATCACGAGCTGTCCTCTGGAAGACCTTACCATATTTAACGGTTTCCAGTTTATATAATTCCTTTGATTGTTCTGTTTTTCTTTATTATATTATTTCTAGTGTGGGGCCATTAAATGTGGCGGTATTCCCTCCTGGTGCCTGCACGTTTTAGAAAGTGTGAGCCAGCTTGGATGAGAAGCCAGATATAGTCCTTAAAACACATCCGCACATAACATTAAGTCCACCTACTGCTTTACCCAGATTTCTTTTTCTTTCTTTCTTTCTTTCTTTTTTTTTTTTTGAGGCTGGCAGACACCTTTTATGGTAGCTGTCAGAGATCACATTTAAATGACTATCTTGAATTCAAAAAGTGCCAAATACTAAACTGCCTGTGTGAGCAACAGGAATCTGAGGGCATAACTTTCCATCCAGAAGTAGATAAGATCACCTTATGCCAAACAAGTTATTTGACAATTTCTTCTCTGTCTGTCCCCATCAGGTGCTGTTCCTCAGGACCTCTCTTCAGCTGAAGAGAGATTTTTATTTTATTTGAAAATTCCAAGAATTTTGGTTCCCAATTCCTCACCTTCAAGAAGTGGACAATACTTACCCTCACTGATCATACAGTAGGTCTTCCATAACAAATCATCTCTCTATTTCTGACAGAGATCTTCTTTTCACAAGTCTTCCCTTGTGACTCTTGCCTTCAAACTATCTATCTAAAGCAGTGCTTCTCAACGTTTGTGTGACGGCGACGCCCGTCACACAAACGTTCTGCGTATGCGCGGTGGCGCCCCCATGCGCGGCACGCATGTGCGACACCCCCCATGCGCGGCGCGCGTGCACGGCACCCCCATGCGTGGCGCGCGTGCATGGCGCCGCCCCCATGTGCGGCGCGCGTGCACGGCGCCGCCCCCATGCGCGGCGCGCGTGCACGGCGCCACGAAAAATGGCGGATCGCCACCTTTGGCGACCCCCCAAAAATGGTCGATCGACCCCAAATGGGGTCACGACCCATAGGTTGAGAACCGCTGATCTAAAGTATTAAACTTTAGTTTCATTACTCATGCTACCAGTGTACAGATCATTCCCGACTTACAACAGTTCATTTAGTGACCATTCAAAGATACAACAGCACTGAAAAAAGTGACCTGTGACCATTTTTCCCACTTATGGCTACTGCAGCTTCCCCATGGCCACGTGATTTACATGCAGGTGCTTGACCACAGACTCACATTTATGATGGTTGCCGTGTCCCGGGATCATGTGATCCCCTTTTGCGACCTTCCAACAAGCAAAGTCAATGTGGGGAAACCCGATTCATTTAACAACCATGTTACTAATTTAATAACTACAGTGATTCGCTTAACGAATGATGGAAGAAAAGTCATAAAATGGGGGCAAAACTCACTTAACAACTTAGCAACACAAATTCTGGGCTCAGTTGTAGGCATAAGTTGAGGACTGCCAGTACAGACTGATTTTAGTTCATCGGCTATTGTCGACGATTGTTGCTGTCCAAGGTACCTTCAACCATTCAAAGGCTTGGATTTTTCTTCACTCAGCCCTTCCGGTACTCCAGCTTTCATTGTTGTTGTTGTTAGTTGCGAAGTCATGTCCAACCCATCGCGACTCCATGGACAATGTTCCTCCAGGTCTTCCTGTCCTCTACCATCTTCTGGAGTCCATTGAAGCTTACGCCTCCTGCTTCAGGGACTCCATCCAGCCACCTCATTCTCTGTAGTCCCCTTCTTCTCTTGCCCTCAATCTTTCCCAGCATTAGGCTCTTCTCCAGTGACTCCTTCCTTCTCATTAGGTGGCCAAATATAGCCATGAAATTATAATTTAGGAAATCATAGTCTTGACAATGTATACCATTGTTGTTAGGATGTGATCTCTACACTTCAATATTTTGCTTGTATCTGTCATAGTTTTTCTCCCATTTAGCAGACGTCTTTTTATTTCCTGACTACAGCCACCTTTCCTGTAAATCAGGGGAATCCAACCTTAGGAAACTTTTAAGATTTCTGGACTTCAACTCCCAGAATTCCCCATGCTGGCTGTGGAATTCTGGGAGTTGAAGTCCACAGGTCTTAAAGTTGTCAAGTGTGGACACCCCTGCTGTGCATTTTAGGTGTCATTCTCTGATTGTTTGCATTGGGTTGACATTGCCCACTTATAAAATTTTAGGCCCTTTGATTTGTTTTTGAAGGCAGGGGAGCAGCTTTAATCTTTGTTTGACCTTCAACAAGAGATTCCTTTTCATTGGACCCAACCACCATCTTGGTACCATCAGCATATCTCACATAGTTTGATGCTTCTCCCAAATTTCTGCTCTTCCTAGCCCAGGGATGGAGAACCTTGGCTCTTTTATGACTCGTGGACTTCAACTCCCAGAATTCCTGAGCCATCCATGCTGAGGGGAAACGGAGAGGTTTCCAAGCTGAGCTGTGCTGGCTCAGGAATTCTGGGAGTTGAAGTCCACAAGTCATAAAAGAGCCAAGGTTCCCCACCCCTGTCCTAGCCTAAGCAGTGTAAGTAAAACAGATCCTTTGACACTACACAATCTTGACTTATTCCTTCCCCCTTCTTCAAACTATGTTCCACATTTGTTTCTCAGTATTCTTTTGGTTGCTTCATATTTTTATATTATTATTTCATCCTAAAGATTCATCAAGAAGTATGGAAATCATTGAATAGATTGCGGGTGCAAGAAGATCCAGAAACACCCTGAACAAATGGAGCTATCGGTTGCTTCTGCCTTTTACGATTGCGACAACACATACAGTATGTATACCTGCACTTCGCATCCTAATCAGTGTACAGTTGAGGATCTCATGGCAGAGCGACAAAAATGCAATTAATGCTGCTAGTTTCTGGGCAAGGTTTGTTTAACTTGTACATATTTCAATGTTCTATTTTATATTTTAAATTTTATATCGTACAGTATGCCTTATTTAAATGGCGATGCTGCTGGCACGAATAAACAAACCAACATCAAGAAGCAGAATGAGGGGAACTGATTCCAATCCATTAATCATGTTCCAGATCAACCGTTCTCCCTTTCTTGGTGACTGGACCTGCACAGAGCTTGCCAGGAAGAAATTTAGTGGGCCGTTTTCCTTGCAACTTCCTTTCTCCGTGATCTCCAGCAGAGGACTGTGTATTGTTGCAGCAGCCACAATCTGGGTCAGCATTTTCACGTGCCGGTAGTGTCTCCCTTTCTTGGTCAGCAACTGTAATGTCTGGTTTCTTTGCATTAAAGTGTACAATATACACCACACATATATACACAATATCTTACCACGTATAGGTTGAGAGATGGAATACTTCTCCATCCTCCCCAAAATAATTTCTTAACAAATTCTTTTCCATCCCACAAGTTTATTCAAATTGAGGATGAAGGTTCATTCTCCAAGCTTTTGGGTCGGCTTCTGAACGTTTTGTTACCAGTCTAGGTGACCTTTTCAGCAGGGTTTAGGGCAGCGGTTCTCAACCTGTGGGTCGGGACCCCATTTGGGGTCGAACGACCATTTCACGGGGGTTGCCAAACAACGCAGTCCGCCATTTTTTCCCCCTTTTCCTTAGCTGTGCTCCTCCCTTTTATTCTATTGGCTTTTGAAAGCCAATAGGATAGACTCTCTTGAATAGAGTCTAATTCTATTGGCTTTCAAAAGCCAATAGGAATTGTCCAGGCTGTCTCCGTCCTGCTGAGCCCGCCAAAAGTCCCATTCTGCAAACGGTGCTGCACCAGTTGAGTAGTCCTCGACTTACGATTGGTTGAGTCGTCCTCGACTTACGACCGGTTGGGGGTCGCGGCATTAAAAAGGTTGAGAACCACTGGTTTAGGGGATGTCAGCATCACTGTTGTTTTTGTTGTTGTTAGTTGTGAAGTCGTGTCCGACCCATCGCGACCCCATGGACAACGTTCCTCCAGGCCTTCCTGTCCTCTACCATCTTCTGGAGTCCATTGAAGCTCACACCTGCTGCTTCAGTGACCCCATCCAGCCCCCTCCTTCTCTGTCGTCCCCTCCTTCTCTTGCCCTCGATCTTTGTTCTGTTTATAATGTTCTGTTTATAAGGGCTCAAATTGTTAAATTCATACTATTTGTCTGGAGGAGAGGAAATGGTTCCACGAAGAATACAGTTTTACTACATCTCTACCTTTGGGATCCCACAGACGTGCTGCAAGGAGAGATGGTTGCCTTGCCTCCAAATGACTGTTTCTTGCCTGGGAATGTTGTAGCTTGACGCACCTGCACTTCCCACGGGGCTTCCTTGGATTCAGCCAAACAAGAGGCAAAATACCCTCCATTCACTCCCCTTTACTCAGTGAAGGCTGGCAGCAGCTTCCTCCCTTTGCAACAACCCCCGTCCTCCTCGGGTTCCGCCCCAAGAGAGCCGCCCAAAGTTGGTTGTAAGATACACCGTTGCCTAAACACACCAACCAACAAGGCTTCTCATTGCAGGTTGGCCGGTTTTGGCAAAGTCTTCTCTCCGCCCTGCCCAGAAAGCTAGCCTGAAATAGCTGACCTTGGAGAAGGAGGGAGGGAGGGAGGGGCGCGTCCCAGCCAGTTTATGAATGAAATTCCAGAGGGCCGGGCGGGGCTTCTTACGCCGGAGCATCTGGGTGTACACCTAAGAGGAGCTTGGGGGGGAAGGAGAGCGCGCAAGACGCCCTGGTTGTTATTCTGATCACGGGCGCCTCTGATTCACAGCCTGGGAGCCGGTCATGAATAGAAGCGGAGACTTTTGACGTCAGAGGGGAGATTTATCAGCAGACCCAAAGGGCGAAGGATAGTCAGAGCTGCGGGCTGCCCGCCATCCGCCAGCCTCGGTAGTCAGCATGCTCGCCCGGGAAGGACGCGCGGGTTGCGCCCCAGACTGAACCAGCGGGGCGCGGAGAAGCAAGCCGGACCCGAGGTTGTCCGACGACTCGCAGCCCCAGGTAAAAAAAAAAAAAAAAAGAGGCTGTCGCAAGCGGGGCCCCCCCTGCCCCTCCAGACCCGAAGGGGCACCAGTCGCCCCGGAGCCACTAGTTTGGCATCCCTGCAAAAGCGCAACCGGGTGGAGAGGCATTCCCCCTGCGCGCCCTTGCCCGGTCCGGTCCTTTGGCTAGTGGGTCGAGGGGGAGAGTGCGGGGCAGAGGGGAAGGCTGGCGTTGTATCTGCCCCACCAGCAGCAGCAGCAGCCCAGCCCAAGTCTCACCCCCCACCCCACCCCACCCCAGAGGTTTTCTCCGCCCGTCTGTGGGGTCTCGCGCGAGCCTCCTAGTCCCGGGCCGTCCCACTCTCAGGAAAGAAGGGGGAAAACCAGCAGGAGACTTCTGGGCTATTTCGGATTGCGTGGAAGGGGGGGGAGGGGAGGGGAGGGGGCGGTAAAGACCCTGAAACAGGGGGACGCGGGTCCTTATCGGCCCGGACGGAGAAACAGCAGCGCGTCTCCTTCCCAGCGGCGCGGAGGGCGGGTGGCTTGTCAGGGCAGGCAACCTGGTTTGATCTGGGTTTGTTGCAGCAGCCGAGATTCTGGCGGCTTAGGAGACGGCCGCCGCAGTTGTGGAGCAGACGCGGCGCTTCCCCTGCCCTGGATAGGAAGGGAGGAGAGCCGGTGCTTCGTTTATAGCGACCTCCAACCGCCGCTGGGCCGCTATAACCGTCGTGAGGACAGGCTTTGAGGCTCCCTCCGGCCCCCGGGAAGCCCCAGCTTTAGAGCCAAGAAACGGAACCCGGGATTCAAAGCTCCGAACTCGTGAGAAAGCGAGCCACGAGAGCCGGGCCATTGCGGGATGCTTGGTCTCCCCTTTGGCTGCAGCTAAAAAACGGAGGGGCTGATGATGTCACCGCCTCCGCATCCTGCGGGGGAGGGGAAATGCCTGCCCCCCCACTCTCCACAAGTGTTGCACTCGACTAGATAGCCCATCCTCCTCGGCGGCGGACCTGTAGCGATCCAACACTTCTGGGGAGCGGGAAGGGGGGGAAGCCTAGGGAGAAAGGAAGAGGGAAAGGAGGTGAAGTTGTCCACAGGGCAACATTTACCTTCTGCTGAAAGAAAAGGGAGCGGATCAAATTGTAAAAAAAAAAAAAAAAAAAGTGGGGGCTCGTTAAGGACCCCCAACCCAACCCACCCCGCCCCACACCCCAGGACCTGGAAGGCAAAAGATCCAAAGGAAGAGAAGGGGCTGAAGGGCAGGGGGGTTGGACAAAATAACAGAATTGGAAGGGATCTTGGAGGTCATCTAGTCCAACCCCCCGCCCGCTCAAGCAAGAGCCGGCTTCGGCCAGCCATCGCGGGCGATTTCGGAGGGGAACCGTCGCGAGGACGAGGTGCAGAGAGCCGGGAGATGGCCGGGGCGTTTAGGCTCCTTCCTTCCTTCCTTCCTTCCTTCCTTCCTTCCTTCCTTCCTTCCTTCCTTCCTTCCTTCCTTCCTTCCTTCCTTCCTTCCCTCCCTCCCCCCTCCCTCCCTCCCTCCCTTCCTTCCTTCCTTCCTTTCTTCCTCCCTCCCTTCCTCCCTCCCTTCCTTCCTTCCTCCCTTCCTTCCTCCCTCGCTGACTCTCCCGGCCTTCTTCCTCCCGCAGCCGCAGCGATGTTCCCCATCCCGGCCGCCGCCATGGAGGAGCAGTTCCGCCAGCAGCAGCAGCAGCAACAGCAGCAGCAGCGGCTCCTGGTGCTCTTCAACGCCTCTTCGTGGCCCCTGGCCAGCCTCTGGCCGCCCACCCACCTCGCCGCCGCCGCCGCCGCGGGCAGCCCCGCCGTCGCCCTGGCTCCGGGCGCCACGGCCAGCGCGGGCGGGGCGGGGTCCGGGCCGGCCGGCGGAGAGGCGGCGGGCTCGGTCAGCCCCTGGGACATCGCGCTGTGCGCCGCCGGGACGCTGATGGCCGGCGAGAACGCGCTGGTGCTGGCCGTGCTCGTCTACGGGCCGGGCCTGCGGGCGCCGCCCTTCCTGCTCATCGGCAGCCTGGCGCTGGCGGACCTGCTGGCCGGGCTGGGGCTGGTGGTCAACTTCGGCGTGCAGTACCTGCTGCAGCCGCCCAGCGAGGCGGCCCGGCTGAGCGCGGCCGGGCTGCTGCTGGCCGCCTTCTCGGCCTCGGTCTGCAGCCTGCTGGCCATCACCGTGGACCGCTACCTGTCGCTCTCCAACGCGCTCACCTACCACTCGGAGCGCGCGCGGACCTTCACCGCCGCCGCGCTGCTCCTGCTCTGGCTGGCCTGCCTGGCCGTCGGGCTCCTGCCGCTGCTGGGCTGGAACTGCCTGCGCCGGCCGGGCGCCTGCAGCGTCCTGCGGCCGGTCACCCGGGACAACGCCGCCGTGCTGGCCGTGGCCTTCCTGCTCCTCTTCGCCCTGATGCTGCAGCTCTACGGGCAGATCTGCCGCATCGCCTGCCGGCACGCCCAGCAGATCGCCGTCCAGCACCAGTTCGTGGCCAGCGCGCAGGCCACCTCCACGCGCAAGGGGCTCTCCACGCTCTCGCTCGTCCTGGGCACCTTCGCCCTCTGCTGGGTGCCCTTTGCCGTCTACTCCCTGGTGGCCGACGCCTCCTACCCGCAGGTCTACACCTACTCCTTGGCCCTGCCGGCCGCCTGCCACTCGCTCCTCAACCCCGTGGTTTACGCCTTCCGCAACCCCGAGATCCAGAAGTCTCTGTGGCTGGTTTGCTGCGCCTGCATCCCGGCCGGCTTCTCCTCCCGACCCAGGACGTCCAGCGACGTGTAGAGGCGGGCGGGGCCGGAGGCAGCTGGACACCAACGCCCCCCCCCCCCACCCCGCCACCGTCGCCACCCCGGTTTACGTCTGGATTCTCGGCTTCCCCATCCCCCCCCCCCCGCGCAGGAGAAAGGAACGGAAACCCGGCGCAGAAACGCGCCACAGCCAACTTTCTGGGGAACGAAACCCGAGGTGGAGGGAAAGTCAGTTCCAGAGGGTTATTTTCTTATATCCGACTTTGGCTTGGGGCTCCCTGCAAAGGGAGGGGGCGGCAATTTGGCCAAAGCGCCGTCCCGACGGATTCGGTGGAGGGTAATTGCAAAATGTGGGGTCTTTGACCTTAAGACCTTTTCTGGATTCATTCTACAGTCCCTTCGCGTTTAGTGTAAAGCCTGGATCTCAGGAAGGGGTGGGGAGGGGGAGGAGGGTCCCGAATGGATTTCGATTTTGTTTTTTAAATGATATTTTATTGGCGGGGGCGGGTCTTTAACAGGTCCTGTGAGAGGAGCCTTCGGGATGGGGAATCGAGGGGGAGGAAGGCAATAGAGGAGGTGGGAGCGGGATGGGCGGTGGGGTTTTGCCCCTCTTTCAAATAAGCACGGTTTTAGGGGCTGGGCTATGTGTGGTTTGTGGGCGGAAATGAGGTTCAAGCAGCCGATCATCTGCATTTTGACGAGCTCGAATGTGAGAGTTTAAATGCAAACGCCACCGCGGACTCCTTTGCACGGACTATCACCGTGGGAAAAGCGTAGGCCGTTTGTCAGGGACGTCCCATTTATATATATATATATATAAATATATATATTATTCCAATCAGATTTTTTTCTCTGCTATGCAATATCCAAACAACCGTTGAAAAAACACAACACACACACACACACACACACACACACACACACACACATACGAACACACACACGAACACACACATACGCACGCAGCCCACACGCAAGACACGCGGTGACGACCGACCAAGCGAGTCGTGATGGGTTGACTCGAGCCAGCCAAAATGGCTTCTCGCCACCCCAGTTCAGCACCTCCAGCGTCGGACAGCTCCCCGGACGCAGCCGGCCTTCCAAGGCGCCCCGGAGACCCCCCCAGCCGAGGAGGTTTTCGTGGGGGGGGGGACGAGATGGAGGTGTCTTGCGCATGTCAGGTAGAACGCGTGACAGACAGACAGGAAACCTTCCCGTCCTTCAGTATTGCCTGTTTAATCTCCACCCCTCAAGAAGGTTGTGTGATTCGTGGGCTGGGGAAAGGTGTGTTGAGGGAGTCTTCCCCCCCCCCCCATTTCCAGCAGTGCAACCCAGTGAGCGGATCTACAGGCCTAAAAGCACTTTAAAGTCTGACTGTGTGTGACTAAGGCAACCCCCTTTGTACTTGAAGGTGATTCTTGAAGTAAGGAGCGGGGGGCGGGCAAAGTAGGCTGACTTACAATGAAAGCAAAAGGGAGAATGCGGGAACCACAGGTAGCAGATGTGATTTTTCGACTATTCTGCCCATCCTTCCCCTTTTGCTGTTCTGATTCAAGGGAAATCAACTCCCCTTTTAAACGGTCCATTTTATTAAGTCCCAGCTTTATTAAGCAGACCACCCTGCAGGGACCTTCAACTTAGCCAGCATGTTCTGTCAATATAAATGTTATGTGCGTAAGACATCTGAAGAGCATCTTTTGCTCAAGTCTACTTTCTCTGGGATATGAAACTAGCAAATTGCCCCTTGTCTTTGGTTTTATTTTGATTAAGGAAAAGGATGCACTGCGGCTGCTGGGCGGCTGAGGGAGAAAGGTTAATGGCTCAAGGAAAAAGCTGACCTTTCACGCTTTCAAAACCTAAGCTTAAAGTGAACTGAGCATGCTCAGTAGCGGTGGAGTGCTTCTATGTGGGTTGTGGAAAGGAGGGGTGGGGGCCCTGCTAAAAAAGAACATGTGGATGGGATGTCCTACGGAAGCATCCTTGCTGAAGGGGGCCATCTTTTCTTCGCTACCACCAAACTGTCTTGGATTTGTTGAATTCATCTGTTGGATTTATATCTCAACTTTTGCGGCCTTGTAGGGGGCAGCCAGGGAGGCTGAGCGGAGGTAGGACGCCTGTAACATGAGGCACAATAGCCCATGTGCAACACCACAGACACAGCGGCTCATTCTCCCCCCTCCCTCCTAGGAAACACTACCCTAGCTCAAAGTCAAGCACTTTTCCTTCACCTCTTGCTCTCCAAAAGCGTTGGACCACAATTCCCATCAGGTCTAGCCAGCGCTGAGGTTAGAAGAGTTGTAGCCCAACACCTGTAGAAGGCGCCCAGTTTGAAAAGCTAAGGGTTATCCCCCCTCCTCCCAAAAGTAAAGAAACAGCAAGCGGAAGTTGAATTCTATCGTAGAGGCAGACCTTTATTGCTTTATCTTGTGTGTGTGTGTGTGTGTGTGTGTGTGGTTGTGTGTGTGTGTATTTTTTGAAAGGAGGTCTATTTTGCATATGTCAGTGATCCACCCACCCATACAGTGGGGTTCAAAAGCCGACCAGCTTCCCTTCCCTTTCTCTTCCTTGTCACTCTCCTCTCCCAGTTTGCCAGGCATCTCTTGAGCATTTTGAGAGGTGACTATCCCAAATATCTGGAGAGGAAGAGAAAGCTGTCACATCATTTGCATACAAGCATACCACCTTACGGGAAGTTGGAGAGGAGAGGGACACGACCTTAACGAATCCCTCAAGAGGTCCAGACTTCTGAAAAGTCTGGGTGGAAGAATGTTACTACCCATTGTATCCTGGAGAGGCCAAGCTGCAGGCAAGCTAATGCACCCTCTCCCCCCCTCCCCCGCTTCAGTGCTCCTTGTTGAAGGGAGACATGCACCTGGATTTGCCAAAGGGAATCAGAAATGACCCACTTGCTAGCTACCATTCCATGCGGGTTCACCCGAGCCCTTGCAATGCACTTTATGGACTATTGGGGTGGGGTGGGGCGAGGGGAGAGTGAGAGGAAAGACACAAGAAATCAATGCTCTTCATTGCACTGCAATTCTATGGTGTATATTATTATACCTTCGTTTGTTGAGAGTAAATTATTTTTATTACTGCACATACAATGTTTGTGACTTGTCCAGGAATACTTAAAAGTTATTTTGACAAATAAAATTGAAAAAGAGAGATTAAAGTCTGGGGCATTGTCCCCAAAACGTGCCAAAAGGATGTTTGCTTGTTGTCTCTTTTCGATATGCACTCTCGCTGGTGGCAAAAGTCGTGGTTGTGTTCAGATGTAAAGACCTTGGTGCTCTCTGAGCTTGGTTGTTTTCTCACAGATGTTTCATTGCCCAACTAGGTAACCTCATCAGGAGAACTGGTGAGGTTACCTAGTTGGGTAATGAAATGGCTGCTTGAAAACCACCCAGCTCAGAGAGCACCAAGGACCCCACAGTTCAACCTTGAGCTACAAGTATTCTCTTCTTTTCTGTTTGGACAACATGCTGCTCAACCAACTAGCCAACCACATTTTTAGTTTGGCATGCTATGGTGACCGAGGAAATGGAATTATTAGCTGCATCGTGTAAAGTTGGCCTTGGGTATTGAGATGTTGCTATTTGACCACTATTTCAGACTTGCTTCCTGTTCTAAAAGCTGGCACAGGATCTGATCTATGCACCAGGGGTCCTCAACCCCTGAGCCACAGACCAGTACCGGTCCGTGGCCTGTTAGGAACTGGGCCACACAGCTGGAGGTGAGCTAACCATCCAAGAAAGCAGAATTTTTGAGACAATACCTGTTTCAAGAGATCTGCTTCCTTGGGTGGTTAGCTGAGGTGGGTCCTTACAGAAACCGTGCATATATGGGATCTAGGTTGTGTTCTCCATCTCTCCCCCCCTCCTGGTCCTTGGAAAAATGGTCTTCCACAAAGCTGGTCCCTGGTGCAAAAAAAGGCTGGGAACCTCTGCTATACACAATCAGTCTAACCTCCCCAGAGATGTGCAACAGTCCAGCTTATACAATGTATGCCAAAAAAAAGTCCAGGGATTCAGTCAGCGGTGGGATTCAGCTGGTTCTCTCCACTTTGGCAGAATCGGTAGCTAATTTTTTTGTTGCCCAGGTCCAGAATGGACTTCTGGAAGCGGCATCCACACAGAGAACCGGTTGTTCTCATATTTGAATCCCACCACTGGATTCAGTCATGTGGTCACAACTCATCTCTTGACCTTCTTTGCCACCCCCCCACTGATGCCTTGAACCTCAGAATGTTCCAAGATCAAAAGAGCCATTCTTGGCATTGAATAAAACAGACATTTCCATCTGTTTCACTCCAAGTACTAGTTCAGACTCATTAGTTTTGTCCGAACCTCTGAACAAAATGGGCCAGTCTTGAGCAGTTTATCCCATACAATCTTTTTTTCCCCTTCATAAGATGTTCTAGATATTGCTTGGTAAGCTGGGATCGAGTTCTTTGCCAAAATAGATTTGCTTCCATTCCTGGCGCTTCTAGCTGAAACTGGAAAAAAAGGATGAGGAGCTTAAGGGGAAGTGTTGCCATAGCAGATGGTGGAGAACCTCTTTGGGATCTGTTGCACTGGAGACATGATTATGACTCACCAACAGCTGTTGGACCATGCCTGCTGGAGATCGTTGCTCCAAGTGTCAACCGTCCTCCTCCGTCATCTAAGAAAGGCTTCCGGCCCTTTGCTTTTGCCAAGGGTATACTTTACTGAAGGGTAGGTGGTTATAGAAGTAGCATAAGCTGGATCTGAGGTTTTCCCATGCAAACAATATAAAGAAAAAAATCCCTTCCCCCCACCAACCATCCCCCAGTTATCTGCAAATGTCCACTCAGGTGCTTGTACAGGTGAAACTCAAAAAATTAGAATATCGTGCAAAAGTTCATTTATTTCAGTAATGCAACTTAAAAGAAGAAACTAATATATGAGATAGACTCATTACATGCAAAGCAAGATGGTTCAAGCCGTGATTTGTCATAATTGTGATGATTATGGCTTACAGCTCATGAAAACCCCAAATCCACAATCTCAGAAA